TTTAGTGCATTAGCAAAAACTTGCGCTACGTAGCTAATCAGCTAATCAATGGAAAACGGTGTTCTAAAATTGTCTTTTCGTTAATCGTAATATATAATGGCTACTACTATTCCGTCGAATTCAAAAAATCCTAGAAAAAGGTTTTGAGAAACAGATTTTGCTACGCGGACTAAAAAAATCTCGAACGTACACGGCAACTTTGGTTAAGAAGTTCCAGAGTTTGATCCAAGTTCATGATTATGACTGAAATTTGTAGAAATAACTTCCCACAAACCGGAGACGCCATTGGCTGATGCCCGAATCAGAAATGGGCATCGACACCGTTGGGACAGGCGATTTCGAGTCGGCCTTTCACCAACTTTCTTTTTGCAGGAACTTCCACTACGCGAACACACAATTTCTCTCCACCGAACAGCACCCTCCCGATTTCTTTTTAGTTTGTGTAGTCGCATTGTAAAACCTTGCCGCATCGCATATTCTTGTACTGCCACCACAAAATCCGTGTGACTGCTAAACTTTGAACCTTGCTGTAAGAAATTTGAGGTCGCGAAATCAACGTCGCTTGAGACCACTGGTACTGCGATTGGCAATGAATTTTGAACGAGGCAAGTAGCCGGCAAAGAGTCTTGCATGATGGATATCCTGTCGTTCAATTGTTGTTCAGACGATTCATCAATCTTGTTTGATTCAGCTTGCAAATTCTCGGGATCGTTCATCTTTTTTTATAAAAGAGTGAGATGTGAAAAAAACGTTGAACTGTCGCGGTTTATATCATCGACTGCCGATCATGCAAGTGTGGCTTTTGTACGACCATGTAGAAAATCGAACACGTGATATATAAAACCATAATTGTGGTTGATACTGGTCGACACTTTCGAATTCAAAAAAAAAATTCTCTTCCGTTAAGAATTAAAACTGCGTAATTTGAAAACTACATATTATACAACACTTCTTCCAAAAGCTCCCAGGAATCATGGTATTCGGCAAGGTGGTACATGTTGCGGTAGATGCAGTTTTGGTGTCTGCTGTCTTGGCCGGCATAAAACGTTCAAGCGGTCTATCGTGAGTGTTGATAGAATATTTATTAGTGTATTTACCCTGCTGTTGTTCTCATGTTTTAAAATTTCTATATTTGAATTGAGGCTCGTCACAAGCAATATCGAAAACCAAGATCTTCGAAAAGCCGTTGACAAATTTCTCGATGTAGGCGAATGGGTGGTAGATCAGGGTACAATGGTCATGAAATCTTCGCAATATTTTGAACGAAAAGGGCAAGTTGACACAAACCAGTAGAATCAACATGAGAGTCGTGTGGAAAGTTGGGTGTGATTGCTGGCAACAATTGTGACAACAACGATCATAATGCAAAGTCAAAAGGTCGGCGAAGAAAATTTTATGCATAATGCGGAACTCGGTTCCCATGTACACCGCAGACTTAACTAAGGCTTCGAAGGATGGATGTACACTGAAAACACGTCGGTATAGAACAAATGATGAAAAAAAAAAAAAAAAAAATCAATATACATATATATATATCGCCACTCGCCATTTGTTTGTTACTATCTTTATCCGGTGGATTTAAATCACGGCAAGAGAAAGTAATATTCAAGATATTTAAGATAATATGTATTTATTATTAGTAATTCAAAGTGTTTATGAATCTCCCTATCAAAAAATTATTTTTCGTTTAACGGAAATGGTACTTCAGTCTTGTAAGTATTCTCTTCTAACAACTTCTCTACCTCCGCCTTTATGTGTTCAACTTTAGAAGCATCAACAAACAAATGTGTCTCATCAAGATCCTCGATGATGAACTTTACTTTTTCTTTTTCGTCAAGTTTATAAATAACTTGTTTTACAGTCGGATCACTTTTTTTTTTTTCAATGCATGTAAAAATGTTATTAAAGAGTTTCCCTTGTGGATTTTCTTCACGAAGATTGATAATAATTAATGTTTGATAAATACCATGTTAGGATGACACCTTGGTTAAATATTAAGTTTAAAATGGATTATTAAATTGAGCGAAAAACAAACTGATAATATCGCTCGTATGTCAAAGAATGTAGATCACCTTTTACAACTTTAACCATCTTCACTAGATTTTATGCTATACCACGTAGGAAGTTATTTAGATCGATAGAAGGTGACTTGCCTTAGTAATTTATGCGTGATTTATTATTAATTTGTTAGTGTTGTGTTACAGCCAAGTCAACCAATCAAATTGAGTGATTCTATATACGTAACATGAAGTAGGTTTTAAAACCGTTCGTGTGTTGTTAAAATATACATGATTATGAAGTTGCATCCCAACTCAATTATTTTTCTACAAAAGATATTGCGAAACAGAAGGATTGAATACTAATGATAGACTTCGTCTGTATGTATAGTTGAATTTGATTATCATCACTCAGGATTGCATATTAAATTGCTGAAACAAGTTTTTGCATAGGGGAGGAAAATTAATGGGTAAAAAAAAAAACTATAGATAATAATTAATTAAAGCTTATTCTTATCATCTGGATTTTGCGGCCCACATTACCCCCACACCAATGGCAACGCCTATGGTGACAAATCCTCCGATAGTCGCCGCTGTCGTCGCATTTGAATTCGACAACCCGGGTGATGATCGTCGTGGAGAGGGTGGGTATGATAAACACGCTATGTCATCACTTTCTTCGGATTGCTTGACTTCGTTTAAACTTTCGTTTGGTTTCACCTCAACAAACAATCGAACCATTGGTGAATTTTGTGATCTGGCTAATTCAATGGCATTTGCAAGATCATCATCCGAAGACAGCATGATCTTATCGTTTTCATCATCCATGTAGCTGACGACGATTTCGGAATCTTTACTTATATTCATCTTTGATCGAACTTGTTTGCATAATTCCAAAAATTTTTGTGTTTTGGAGGTGAACCGGTGCGATTCCTTCGATTTTTCGTACTTACACTTGTAAATGAATGCACCCTCTTCAAGCCTAGAAGCACGAGAGTTTCTTCTGGATGGACTGGATGGAATTGTATTCTCGGTAGAAGGTGGGGTTAGGATAGATGTTGACGGTGCCCTCTGTCTAATTATCGGACTCTCGACTAAATTAGTGATCATAGAATTTTCATTAGGAGGCGGATCCGATGTTGAATCATCAGATTTAGGTTCTTCGGATCTTGGATCTTCAGGGGTCATTGAGTTCCAGAATTTGTTCCAAACTACTCCGTCTTCAACTTGTTCACCATTCAACGATTTCAGCTGAGATTAAAGTAAGAGATGTTAAAATCGCAATTATGGAAATGAAACAATTCGAAAGAGGAAATGAAACACCAACAGTATTCAGTGTAGAATAAGTGAGTTGCAGAATATCAACTATCCCAATCACGATTTTTTTGTTATTCATCAAAGGCAAATGTTGGTAGCGCTCGTCTATTAAGGTGAGGAAATTAAGTAGAGCATGTGAGAAACGACTATCCATTAAAAACAAATTTCATCGATGGTTTTCTCACCCTGCATTTGTCGGAGAGCCTGCAAAATTGTAGTATCTGTTGAGACCATATCTGGGTTTGGTGTCATCACTCGTATCGTTGAGGTATTTGATGGCTCAAAGTTTTGCCCATATATCCTACACATTTCAAATTAATTATAAACTCGTGAAATCGATTGACTAGCTTTTGCTCAAGAAAAAAAATATTAATACAAACTTCTACCTAGTTACTATGTCCTTGGTTGTGAAGATCCCAACTGGCTTGTTGCTGTCGTCTACAACCAAAACAGCTGTTTGATGATATTCCTTCATGTGTTGAGCAGCTTCCAGCACTGTTTTTTTAATGGAAATCTCTGGAAGGGTCCTAGATGGATCCATAACGGAACTCAACCGAGGGAAACAAAGATGTTCTTTGATAGCTGCTGCCATGGTCGAGAAATCAATCTTATTCAAGGAATCTTTGCCAGTGACGTCATCCAGCACCGCAAATAACTGCCTAGTTGTTGCATCTGCCTTTTCAAGCCTGGCGAGAGCATGAAGCAAGCATTCGGTAATATCAAGCAATCCTATGATATCACCGGAATCATCAAGAATTGGCTTAGCAGTTTGATAAATAAATGAAAATTATTTGATTAATAATGCATAGAAGGATAATCGATTCACCATTAATTCATGTGATTGACCTACCAAATGTCGGAATCCACCTGATACCATGCGATTTAGAGCGTCGGTCGCATTTGATGATATGGTGACACAATCCGGATCCCTCGTCATTATTTGTGCTAGAGCCGTTGCATTAGGATTGAGACCTTCAGCACACACTCTAAAAGACAAATCCTTGTCCGTGACAATTCCTATCAACCTGTCACCTTCATCTACCACAAGTACCGCCGTTGCTCTAATTATGATATAGGAAATTTGAATTCCAATTGTTGATTATATAACTCACTTTAGAAAGGTATTTCGGAATTAAAATAACAACCTATTTACTGCCATTAGACGTGCGGCATCCATCACATTTGCCGTCTCTACAGTATGATATGCAAGTATAAATTGAGTTAGAACTTAACCATCTATGCGATTTACTCTTTTTTATTCTATCAGATTTTTTTCTGATCAGAGCCGCTCGGGTGTTGGATCGCGAACATAAATGCCGATGTTCATTAAATGGTTTATACATGTTCATTAAACTTCTGGTTGTCACACACGATCAATATATGAGAACGACTAAAGACTCTACGTTCCAAGTGTACATTCCTTACCCAGTAGAGTTATTGCCGGAGAAGGTCTCAAGGTTCCAAGTGAACCAGCTGTCTTGGGTATTCTATCGAGCGCTCGTTTCCCATGAAGTCTATTAGTTCTGTTGAGGTCATGCTCTATTTTCTTTCTTATTCGCTCGTCC